GTCTATTAATTTGCAGATTAATCTCACAATCAATTATTTCATTGTTTAGTTGATAAAATGTCACAGTGGTGTCAAAATTAGTGTTTCAGCTCTAGATAAAAGTTGATTCTTGACCTTGAAAATAGCAATTTGATTTAAAAACAAAAAATTGCCAAGCGATCTTTATGGAAACTGATGGCGTAAAAAAAATGAAGAGATCAGGACGCTGGGGAGAGGTGGGTGGGGGTCAAAGGGATGGATGGGGAGGGAGGGAGTAAAGAAGGATTCATCATTATTTATTGTTTTGATATGTGTTATGTACTCCATAATGAATGTGGATGTTGAGAAAGGCAAACCAATCAAAATTTGTTCACAATAAAAAGAGCAAACTGTCTGCTAATGAAGATACTGAGATGTGGTTGAAAGTAGAGCTACAATGATTAGTCGATTTAATCAATTAGTTGTCAAATTAATTGGCTACTATTTGAGAATTGATTAATTGAGTCAATTTTTGAAGAAATTTCCAAATTCTCTGATCCTTAGTTGAAAGCTCTGGAAAAATCTAGTAATTGGACCTGAAGTTTGGCTTAAAATCCGTACCAAAGCAGTATTAGAAAGTATGGAATGGGATCCCATATGGGAATTGAACCTCTAACCTAAGCAGTTTAGTGCCTTGCTCATTATTGAACTGACTAAAAGAAATCCCCAGTGAGAGAGGAGACTAATCCTAGTAATAATACAAGTAATCACAGTATAACTCCTTTATTACTCCTCATGCAGACTGCTGCAGTAGCCACCAGTCATGGCCGTGTAATATCATTTTACATAATAGTTTTTATAGCCAGCTTCCTCTCCAGCCAAATGAAAAGTTATTATACCCAGAAGCATAGAGCTTCCATAAAAGCCTTTAAAGAGCTCTCTTTCTTCTACAAATCTTAACCCACTGCTTGGGTTTCTATCCCACCAAATTTCCCAGCATCCCCGGAGCGGTGTGACCTTAAATTCTTTCCCCTGGGGGGGGGCTGGCTATGGCTCAGTGGTTGCCTATAAGGGCAGTTTATTCTGTACAGGTGGGACAGCTAACAATACCTCCTTTCATTCCCGTCACGCTGAATGTTCCTCCTCCTAGACTCTGATGTCACGTCCAGCTAGCCAGAGCAGCTACGCTACATTAACCACTGTTAACTGAGGAGACAACCAGAGGAGGCAGGCGGGATAGACTAGCATGCACATGAACTGTCTCTAAAGTGAAAGCACACAGGTTTGAATCCCTCAGAAGCCAGTACACATCAGACTTAGGCACAGTCAGTGTGCACGAGAGCAGAAATATATCCACCCATTAATATCAAACCTTTGTATTAGTGAGGAAAACTGATTTGTTTATGGGTATTTATCAAGGAAAATATATCATCATTATTTGTGAGGATTATCTCTGTAAGCTGACTGTTTGAAGACTTGAGTTTAAACTTGTGATGGACATTTCTTTACTATTTTCAAAGTGATTTATTAGTTTGGGAAATAACAAGTTTCAGAGAATTTAAAGTAACTGATCATTCATCAGAAGTGGCTGCAAGTCCACAAATTCAGCCAGTACTGATGTAAAGGATGAATGAAATGGTTGAATTATGTTAAATCATCTACATCATCTACTACTAATTTTATTAAATTATCTATTGATTTAAAAAAAAAAAAAACATTGGATGAGATGGCTGTCATTAATTAAAGCTTGAAAACTGAAAACAGACTGCTAATTGGCAGTCATTTTTAAATATATGAATATTCGCTGTTTTTTGGCATCTCCTTAATAGTGAATAAACTATGTTTGGGTTTTGGACTGTAAAAAACGTATTGCAGACCTTTTATTTTTAACGCCTTTATTTGCAGTATATGCAGCACCTTTTATACTTCATACTTTTTATAATGCATATTTGCACAACTTTCAAAAAAAAGAATTAAAACAATTGTAGATGAAGATGCCACAGAGACTCAGAGGAACAAGTTCCTGAGAGCTATAAATGAAGAAAGCACTTGCTGCACACCAGTTAAAGTAAAACATGTTAGTGTCTTGATGGCCTATGGGTCCAAGATGTCCATGTAATTGCAATGTCCCTGGTTCTACTCGGTGGGGGAGCTTTGTTGCATTTTATTCCCCGTCTCTCCCTCACTTCATTTCCTGTCAGCTCTCTACTGTCTGGTCTGCAGTTGTGGAAGAAGTATTCAGATCCTGGACTTTAGTAAAAGTGACAATACCACAATGTTATAATCGGCTCGATGTAGTAAAGGTGTGTGTTGTGCAGTAAAATGTCTACTGTGACTGATATCTGATTCTATGTGACATTATATTAGTGTGTCAATGTTAGAGCAGCATTTTACTATTGTAGCTGATCCAGGAGCTAGTTTGAACTACTTTATATACACTTAGCTAGTTTAGTCATTTTTTGATTAGTGGCCTTGTGAGTGTAGACATTGACAATTATCTCAATACCAGATAGTTGGCCCGATTAATTGGTCTATCACTAACATAGGTCATATAGAGGCATCAGTATTACATTGAGTTGTAGTATGTTAAAATTGAACCATGGAAGAAGTTTAGAGGAGAAATGCTAACAACTCGTAGACATCTGAAATGTGTCAGATAAATGTAGTGTAGTAAAATGTATGTAATGTCTGGCTCTGAGAAGTAGTCGAGTAGTATAAGTAGCATACATTAATTGTATATAAGTGCAGTACTTGAGTAAATACTTAGTTACTTTCCACAACTGCTGTTCTGTAATGAAGGTCACAGAATACACCTCAGTAGGTCTTAAACAGCTCAACCTGCAATGGACGTTGTAAATGTAGTCCATATCTGAACAACATGAGTTGGTGGGAATGAGACACTGGTATCGGCAATAAAAAATGTCTGTATGGTTGTCTGTTACCTTCTGCTGGGGGAAGAAGGAGTTTGTTGTTTGACTGAGAAGCAGACCAGAGGATCAGAGACGAGTTTAAACATGACTCGGAGGAGGAGGAGGAGGAGGAGGAGGAGGAGGAGTGAAAGTTACCTGACACCCAGAGGATTTGGAGAATCTGGCTCTTTTGGGGTTTTTTTTGTTTGTTTTTTTACCTTTTCTTAGTTTAGCTCCTAGATTTTATTTCTCTGAGTTGACAGATTAAATTGTTTGCCGACTGAGGATTCTCTGGTATTTCAGCCTCCAGTGGGACTTTTTGTGTGCGGTTTGAGTATTTCAGTTGTCAGTCTCCATGTCAATCACCAGTTGTATAAGTGTGTGTGCAGTCATCTTACACTGTGTTTTCAAAGGGAAGTGGATGTGTCGGGTGATTTAAGAAGGGTGTGTTTGAGGGGGGTGGGAGCAGCTTCCTGTCTTGGGGGCTCACAACAGACGATCCTTCCTGAACCTGCCTCGTCTTGCCCTCCCTTCATCTGTCTGAATGTGTCTTTGTGTGTTATCTCACCGTTCTACTGCTGCTGTTGTTGTCGGTCTCTAAACGTAGCGAAGAGCCACAAACAAACTTCAGGTTTTGTTGTGGCAGCGAGGTGAAGATATTTCCACTTTCTGTTATCGACACTGTGTGTGTGTGTGTGTGTGTGTGTGTGTGTGTGTGTGTGTGTGTGTGTGTGTGTGTGTGTGTGTGTGTGTGTGTGTGTGTGTGTGTGTGTGTGTGTGTGTGTGTGTGTGTGTGTGTGTGTGTGTGTGTGTGTGTGTGTGTGTGTGTGTCCCACACTGATACACTCCCTCTCACCTACAGTCATACAACAGACACACTCACTCCTGTACTTGCTGCCCCACACACACCCTCACTAATCCTTCTTTCATTCCAGACTCTCTGATGTACATTCCTTATCTGTGCTGGTTAGAAAATGTGCACCAAAACTCTGTAAAAACTGAATTGAATTCCCCTTGAAAGGTCATCATACATAACTGAAAATAGATTGGTCCAGTTTCTGCATACCTGGCAGCCAGTCTTAATTAGTATAGAAGATGAATTACAAATTGGACTCCAGAAGTACATCAGTGTATCCATATTGAGTTGTGACTACTTGTAATGTATGCATCTATACATATTAAAGATCCAGCTTATTGATCTGTGACCACTTACAGCACTGCTTCTTGTGTTTCTATGTATGTGAGGTCTGTAGGCTCATGTAGATAGCATGCATACTTCATTCATTTTCAATTTTTTTGTTAGTGAAATGTCATTTGTGTCACATATGTGTCTGTGTCCCTCTGTCTGGGTTGTGGTGGGATACACATTCTATGTTTACAGTTACTTTTTTAAAAATCTGTAGATTTGTACACTTGTTTATGCAATACTACTACTAATAATAAAAAAATAATAGAATAAAATAAAATGTGCACCTGGGATTCAAAAATGTTTTACCCCCATTGTTAAACCCCCAATTTAAAATGGACCCTTCCATTTGAACAAACAGGCCAGACGGCAGCATTGAGTAGATTCAAATATCACACTTACACTCTTTCCTGTCTCACATCAACTATGCTGCCCCTTATTCCCTTGCACACTTACACACACACACACACACACACACACACACACACACACACACACACACACACACACACACACACACACACACACACAGGCAAGTATGTGTGTGTCTTTGTTCTGTGCCTTCTCAGCCAGAGATGTGTGAAAAGTGGGTCACAGGTCAGATCTCTTTGTCCCCCCCAGGCAAATGAAAAGTGACGGACACCGGCCTTGCATCTCCACTAATTCACTCACTCTCTCTCTCACTCACACACACACACACACACGGCGCCCACTAATTGCGACATGCCGTTATTAGCGCTGCACAGGGCCAGCGCCTGTAATTGCAGAACATCCCTGGACAAATAATTTGTTAGTTGGAGCGTCTGAGGCCAGCGCCAGGCTGGCAGGGGTCACCGGGTCATAGCTCACTAAAGAAGAGGGGAACAGAGAGAGCTGGAGCTCATCAAAGCTTTCACAAATCAGCTGGTGTAAAACTCAATTGAAACCTGTCTTTTCCTTTTTTTCAGGGTTTTGGACCCAAAGAGCCAGTGAGACAGAGGAGGACCTGATATTGTGATATCACCTGAACCCCATCCTGTCATCTACTCCTTCCACCCCCCTGCTTGTCCTCCAGCTGACCACCCTTCTCTCTAAGGCCTCGTCCGGAGCTCCTCCCAATTCCCCCACTCCCTGACTCCTGCTGTGGATTTAAGACTTTTATCAGGACTTGAGTGTCTCCCCTCAGTCCACACTGACCAGCTGACCTGAAGCTCCTAATCACAGCACGGCCCAATCTAGGCCCAGTTCTGGTCCAGTCTAAGTCCAGTCCTGCAGGATGGCAGGTCTACGGTTCATTCTGGCTGTGATTGCCGCCGCTCTGCTGACCCTTAGAACTGATGGTAAGACATTTAAAATCAAGTTTAAAAGCTGTCCTAAGTTTAAAGTTTGTATCTTTTATTTATTTTTTTTATCTTTGTCACAAAATGATATACATTTTATCCAAAGACAAACACCTATAACACTCATACACATAATATCACTTTATGCCAAGCTGAGGGTTGGGACCTCACATGGGTCATCTGATATGCAAATACAGAATTTATAAAATGGATATATAGAGTATAAACATTAAGATAATTTAAATCAAATTAATGTTTTTTAAGTTTTATTTGGAATTAAAAAGCACTTGTTTAATTAATTCCAGATTAAAGTTGCATGACCTTTGAACTTAATGAACTTTGATCCCCGTAAGACTGCAACTTGATTTGGCTTGTCATTTAACACAGCTGTAAATGTAGCAAAGGAGGCAAGTGAAAAGTCTGACTGATGATTGATGGATGATTGAACCGTTTACAGCTGTGTGAGCTGTCTTGTGATCAAACTCTACAGGGGGGAGCAAGAGGGCAGCATCCAGAGATGACACTGCACACTTTAAAACATTATGATGAACAAGATGAGATGGGTAGTAATAGATTCATAAGTTCCAATGTTTTTTCCTTTGGTATGGACTGTGAGTGTGTGTGTATATGGAAAACAAATGAGTCGAGAGCATCTCCTGGTGTCTTTACTGCAGAAACAAGCCTGGGATTGAATCACCTGTCAAATAGCCAAGAATTGCTCGTATCACAGATGATGAGGAGCTCAAAAAGTCTGCAACATGCAAACTGTCAGGAAATCCTTTCCAATGCCTCCAGTCCTGAGCTTGTGACTGACAGACAAATTACACATGTGAGATTTAGGTTCTGCTTTATTGACAGTATTTCAGGTCAGATTTCTTCTGAAATTGAGCATATCACATAACTACTAGATCTGTGAAATACAAATCAACATCCCCAGTGATGAGATGGAGTATTTTCATACATTCTTTCAACCATCTCATTAGACCTGATGAGTTGGTTCAGATCATGAAATAGTAGAGGAAAGAAATGAGTAGATACATTAAAGTGGAGACTACCATCAGTGTTCAGAGGACATCTGTCACTGACAGTCACCACCATTTCTCTGATTTATACTCCTGGATCATTGGTTGCTTTTTTTCTCCCATTTGCCCTTTGAAGACATTTTGGCTGTGGAGTTACTCATTAACCCTTTAGTTTGCTTTCAGTCAGATAAGCAGTACTTCCAGACTGACATTAACATAAAAAGTCATTATACCCCTCCTTTGTAATCAGCACCCCCTCCCTGTACACACAGATCTGTATCACAAGCCTTTTGTTAAAGCTGTGATTAAGTGTCAATTGGTTGATAATAGAGAGGCTTTAGAAATGAACCTCTAGCTATGGAGACAATAGTCTACTCTCCTAGAAAACATTTTCCGTCAGAGCAGTGCTCCTTCCTCACCTTTGTGAAAAAATCCTCTTTAGCGGACAGCTTGTACAGCGGCATCTTTCTCTGCCGTTGAAGTCTAACTGTTTATTTATCCTGACTGATGTGACTGAGGCATTTACACATGGATGACCAGATGGTGTTGGAGAAGCTTGTGGCAGTAACTTGTGGTTATATTGTCTGTTTTAGGGAAGTTTCTGGCTAACTGCAGCAGAACTGAATGCTCAATGTTTCTAGCAGCATCTGACTGTGACTGAGTGTCAAGTTCTAATGACATAAAAATAAGGAATGTATCCTTTATTAGGATCACCATTAGTTATTCAGTCTATTCATCTAAAGAAATGCAGTATTATATACAAAGGTTTACATGTACACTCCATACAATATTACATTTAAAATATCCCAATTGCATCTAACTACAGCTGAAATGGTTAGTTGATTAATAAACAGCAACTATTTTTATAACCAGTTAATCATTTGAGTCTTGAATGTGTTTGTTCTTCTTCAGTGAGAATATATCAGTATGAAAAAAAACTATCTAAGACATCACCTTAGACCTTGGGTGTTTGCAGGGTCTTAAAGTCTAATTTAAAAAAGTCTAAAATTCAATAATCTATATTTTAGGCCTCAAAATTGATTTGGACAGGTCTTAAAATAGAATGGATTAATGAAGTTGCATTTTTCAGTCTCAGTTTTCAATGTGGTTTTGGAAGAATTTGAATTGATCATGCTGTAACAACTAAAACATTTAACTGACATGGAACAAATACAGATTTTCCTTCATGCCTTTTTTTTTTTTTTTTTTTTTGCCAAGATGGATGTAAAATAGGTCTTAAACTGCATTCATAATGGTCTGAAAAAGACTTAAATTTAACCTGTTGAAACCCACAGAAACCCTGTTATAGATAGAATGATTGTTCAGCATCAGACTAATGAAAATAACAATAAATTAGTTTAAAGCCCAGTTTCCATTCCAGTGACTCTGACTACATAGAGTATGCAGAAAAATTGATCATGTAAACAGGTTATTGCCTCTTCCAGCCTACATTCATTTGGATTATCTTAATGATGCATCAAAGTTCAGAGGAATTTAAAGCTCAGTTTCTTTGATGTGAAAAAAAAGAACAGACTTATTGTGGACAAAGTGCCTAAACAGTTAAATAAATGTACATTTTCAGATCTTGTCAGAATAGTGTGAATGTGTTCAACTGCAACTCTGAACACGAGAAAGGTCACCTTCTGACCTGCCAATCCCTGCCTACTAACCTTCAAACACACGCAGAGCAAGCTGATAAGAACAGGGCGGCATTCAGCCAAGTGTTACTGACTGTGATTGACTCAGACTCTCTGATATCTCACTCTCACACACACACACACACACACACACACACACACACACAACACACACACACACACACACACACACACAGCAGAAGATCAGTTCAGTGAAATCAGGTCAATGCGGTGTCTGATTGCACGATACAGTTTGAAATATAGGCCAACTAATGAATGATATAAATGATGATTTTATTTGAAATGTAAAAAGGGGAAGCATTGCATTATGACATTAGGAGTTAAAAGACATTTTATCGAACTACAAAAAAGGCAAAACAACATGGATAAAGAAACACACATGATCACTAACAATAGCAGTGTGGATGTTATCTGCTTAAACTGCCAGCCTGTTACCAATTGATCGTCAGTGTAACATATGTTGGTTCACACATATTTTAGGAAACTTTAGCTCTGCAAGTGAAGTGTAAGTGTCCTTTAAGCGCCCAGTATACTCGACGCACTCGAGCTGTCGCGCGACAACGTGACGTCAAAATGACGTAGATCTCACTGGCGCGCCAGGATTTTATCCCGGTCGCGCCGTGTCGCACACCACTTTTTTTTTTCCAGCTGCGCGCGACAAACCGGAAACGGGAAGATGGACGATCTGTACGATCCTTCAATAAAGGAGCACAGAGTTGCCGGAATTCATGGCTAGAAATCGCCATGAATGTTGGAATAGAGGAGGACATATGCTGGAATATTTAGAAGAACCTCCGCGACCGATTTGGGAAGAAAAAAAAACGTTTTCTTCTTCTAGTGCGTAGAAATAGCAAACTCGGTAGCCTTTCCTCACTAGCGACACCTCTGTTCAGGAGAAGACTGCAACTAGTGCCGCGACCACCACGCGTCGAGTATACCGGACGCTTTATTAGGGTGTCCGCAGGCTCTAAAAAAGTCTAAAATCCAATAATATGGATTTTAGACCTTTGAAATATCTTGTATAAAGGTTGCACTTTCAGTCTCTTAAGGGTATTTTGGGGAAAAGTATGTATTGATCGCGCTGTATCAACTGCAAAACCAAACCAACATGAAGCCAATACTGATTTTCCTTCATATCCTTTGCACTTTTTTTTTTCTAGTATGGGCATTAAAAAGGTCTTAAATTGCATTCATCATGGTCTTAAAAATGGATTAAGTCTTAAATTGAACCTGTTGAAACCTGCAGAAACTCTGTTTATGGCTGCAGCTTTGAAGAGTTCACATTTATGTAACTGAGGTGTCCACTATCAGCAGCAGTATCAGGCTCAGAAACTCTCTCACCTTCCCGTCCACCACTCCTCCCTGCAGGAAGCTGTTGAACTGATTGTTGCCGCTCTCACTTCCTCTCTGCACATTAACCATTTCCTCTATGGCTCTGTATGAGCTGTCAGCGGTGCTAAATGCTCCAAACAGCCATTGTTCTCCGGAAATATCCCTCAGTCCCTCTGGAGACATATTCACCCTTTGAAACAGTGTTTATTTCCCCCCTCTGGAGCCTTTTTGCAACAGCTTGTGAAGACTGAGAGTCGCTACAAGGCTGATTTTACTCTTTAACTTACTATTTCGTTTATTTGAACAGGGACAGTGCAAAATAAAACATTAACCCTGTATATAACAAGGAGAGATGCTTTGCACCCAACTAAAATGTGTTGGAACCAAACACAAACATGTTGCTTTATGTCGTAAGTCTCATCGACCTTTTCCAGTAACAGAATAGTTTCCAGCAGGTGAAAAACTTTGCTCTCTCTCTGAACAGTCTCTAAGAAATGTAGTAGCACCGCGTCTCTTTTCTTACTGTTTATACGCCATAGACATGTTAATTTCTTTTGAAGATATGTTTATGTGTTGTAGATTGTATTGTGGTATCGTCTTGATAAAAAACAAATTGCCAAAACAACATCACTTGAGGCAGGTTTACTTCACAGCTCGACTCTTGTCTGCTCAGTTCGAGGTTTTAACGAGTGACTGATGGTAATTGCCTCACTGGGAGGCTTTCAGCTGCCTGCTGTCACCACGGCAACGCACACTCGGCCAAATAAACATCTCTGCAAGGAAGCAGGACAGAATAGTGATGGTGTTTGTAGGCGCAGTTTTAATGAAAAAGGTTTCTGTTGTAAACGTGTAAAGCAAACAGGAGAAGAATGGAATGAGATGTTTAGATTTAATGCGGCAGATTGAAACATTTTTATTTTCATTATAAAGATAATGTATAGGAACACTCACACCATTTACAGTTGTGTTTGTGTCTCGTGTCTGGATA